TTGCTGATGTGTTTCGTTTCTCTGGTGGTGGTGGCGGTGGTGGGTAGTAGCCCGCAAGCCAGTGGAGAAAAATACATTTCAAAGCACGCTAAAGCTTCGCTGCTGAAACGTCCCCCAGATAAGTCATCGGGTCGCCTACTTAAAGGGAAAACGCATTCCAATACTGTATTTGTTGGGGGCCAGTGGGTGGTTAAGTCCCTTTTGAGGGGGTGGTCCTGTTACATTAACAAACATTTTTTTACTTGGTTAATTCAAATACATGTATTTATTATTTCGTGATGCAATGATCTCATTAGATGGTTAAATAATTTAGTGTAAATCATGAAAAAAAAAAATGTGCGTAACCCAAACAAATTTATGAGCATATATTGGTTAAAAAAAAAAAAAAAGATAAATAAACAAATAAACAGTGTTTTTTTTTTGTTTTTTTTTTTAAAGGTGTGCGATACATTCTTACATTTATGTATATATTTCAATTCTAAAGACAATTTAAGGTTGTGTTTTCCCCGGTGGTGGCAGCACTTCATCAGCAAACTTTGCCAAACTACTTGCAGCCGACAAATCATCACACTTAAATCCCTTTAAATGGTTATGCCGAGGTTGGCTCGGTTGGCTCATGTATTTTATTCATTCCCCCCCCCCGCGTCTGTCCATTCACTTTTCTGTTTTTTTTGGCCATTAACTTCCTTCCCGCAGAAAGCACCGCCTCGTTAGCATATGAGCCAACCTTGCCAAAAATAAGCCTCTTTTTCTTTTGATCCTGTGCAGAATTTCTGACATCTGCTGTTGTTGCACCTGTCACTTTTGGGTGTTCCCGTTGGCAAAACGTGTTTGGCTTTTTTTCCCCCCCTCAATATATATTTAGCAAGCTATAGCTTCAGGGAAGACTTTTTTTTTTTTCCTTGTGACATTTGCTGCCGGCGTCAGATCATTTTACATCTCGTACCGGGGTTGAGTGTGATGTTTTTTTTTCCAGAATGCTTGCCATTTGTTTGTTTCGTTTCATACCACAGCAGGATGCACAAAAAAAAGGCTCAAGGACTAATGTCTAAAAATGAACAGCAAGTCAGCATTTCGTTTTGAAGCGGCCATCTTGGGCTAATTCCAGGTCTTGTACTTCAACTCCTAGCAGGGAATTTGAAATTCTTTATTCCAAATGAACCTCGATAGGCAGCGGCCATTCCAGACAATTAAATTGCGAGGCCGCCCGTGTGTGTTTTCGACGTCTTCATGCACAAAATGTCAAGTGACGTCGGCTCTTTTCAAATTTGTATTCCGCCCTCTACACTTGAAGGAATTAAAAAAGGGGGGGGGGGGACCTTCAGTTTAACCTTTTCCACACGTGTGCCAGGAGTGATAACTTATTTAACGTGCTGATGTATGGGACTTGTCGTGATACGGGAACGGCGCAATTACACATCCGGCCATTAAATCGGCGTAACAACCCAGGAAAAAAAAAAGGGGGGGGGGGGGGGAGTGGGCGAGGGGGATGACAGAACTGCCCTTGAAGGGCCCACTCGTCTTAAAGAAAGGACAACTGATTGCACAATTGGGGATGTCAAAACAAGACAAAAACAAATTGGGTGAAGAGCAAACTGATCGATCAGAATAAGTTGGTCAGATCCTGCTTTTTATTTTCAGACATTTTGTTGTTGATGTTGTCATTTTTGTTACTCAATTCCCAATGTTGACAAAGCTACAGAAACACGACTGATTCAGAGCACAACAGTCCAGCTCGAAAATGACATTTGACTCCTAATTTTTCTCATTTCAGCGACACACGAGCTCGCCAAGGCGGCTGACAACGGCATCGACGGCCATAGTGCACAGACAGTCGAAGGGTTTTTTTTTTTGTTTTTTTATGAGCTCGTAACTTTTATCAGTGCAAAATCAAAGAGAGGAAGAGACTGAAGAGTCTGAAAGCGACAATGCGTGCTTGATTTCCCGTGCCTAATCGCAGCTCTTGAGAACGGGCTCTTCTCTGAAGATTGAACTTACCGCGCAAGCTCTATTCAAGCTTGCAAATCGACGATATTAACACATCACCTTAGGGCCAAAACACGACACATCCTCGCTCGATGCTTGAAAACGGACACAATCGACTTGTGCCCAGAATAGGGGTGCTGTCCTTTCAAGTCCTCACCCCGAAGCGTGGGCTTGGACGTCTCGCAAAGCGCACTTCACCTAAGTGTTTGACAAAAGCGTCTTTTCAATGCTGATGAAAGACAGCGCTCTTTAGAATTCTACGCAAAAACGAGAGAATTAGCGGTCGTCCCACTGAGGCGTCTCAAGAACAACTCAGCCTCTGAGGCCACTTAACTGATGCACGATAGACGCCGCGAATTAGCCCGTTCAATCGAGCTTGATTTCATGTCTGGCTCAGTCGTGCAGCAAACAAGTGGGCAAAGTCACTCAGAAGCAGACACGATTGGAGGGGTGGGGGCGGGGGGGAGGTAATCAAGCAGAAATATTCGGCATGGGCGAGTACTGGCCTCATTTTAAGGTATCAAGTCCTCGTCTAGCCTGCCAATAGCCAGCCACCGACACTTCTCTCAAAATAAATCTGAGATGGAGTAAGCCCTCCTTGGCAGAAGGTGGCGCTATACTGCAGCAGTTTGACACATCAGCGAATCATCAGAAAGAAACGTTTTTTGTTCATTATGTTGAATGACAGACACGGTGAGGACATTACAGTACCTTCATTGCACCTTTTGATTTTTCACTTCATTTGAGCGGCGGTGTATTTAAAGCCCGCTTTTAGCACAAACATTTATTTACTTTTATTGCTCGTTAAGTTCCTCATTAGTCGGCGACCTTTTATAAAGTCTTGGTTTATTCCCGTGAATTCCGGTTAACTCCCATGGAACACTTCCAAAATTCTCATTATTTTGCCAGGCTATTTGCATCATCCCGCTTTATCGACTGTTCTTACGCCATCTAAATTAGCACCAAACAAAAAAAAAAAAAAAACTGAGCGGCTGATCCCTGGAAGAAACTCGGAGGCAGTTGGACACTAGCCAAAACCCTGACTACGATGGTTCTTGACAGCCGCGGCACTGTTGTCCAGGAAGGTGGCGCTAACAACATTGACAATGTTGGCCTGATCAGCGTGTGTGTGTGTGTGTGTGTGTGTGTGTGTGTGTGTGTGTGTGTGTAGGCAGTAAGACAGAGGCTGTTGAGTTTTTTTTGTTTTTTTTAGTGCACACGTAGGCGTTTCTTTTGTGCAGTAATGAAATTGAGGCAAGAAAATGAGTAAGACAGAGGGGCGATTGTGAAGCCATGCCTGAATGGGAGCACACTGCACAGCCGATACACAAAGCGCAAACTGCATTATGCAGCCGATTATACGCGGAGAGGCGATGAGGCAAGGGAGCCGCGGCGTTTCAGGTGCTAGCTACAACTACCGTCGGTAGAAATCCCGAAGATCATTTCTTTTGGAACCAAGCAGATTTGACGCGTGGTTGCCTCAAGCTAGCTGTCCCGCGAGTTGAGGTTTATTGTAAAACTGATACAAAACAAATATAGACAAGGACTGATATCAGGTATTGGTATCGGGGCGAGATCGACCTGCCGATACCGGTCATTGATATTTAACACTAACAGCACAAATCTGACGAGTTGAGCCGATACTGCGACAGTTTGACACATCGGCAAATCAACATCTGTTTCTAAAAGAAAGTATTGCTTTCAGAAATGTTTGTCATTGAGTTACATTCTTTTTATATGAAAACTACTACAGGTATCGATACTCGATATCAGTCAGTACTCAAAGATGCTGGTATCGGTCCGAAAAAATGTCATATCGAACATCCCAATGAAACTCCACAATGTGGAACCACCCTGTCTGCTAGCTTAATGCTCACGTAAAATATCAAATGCCATACATAGGTTTGGAAAATAGAGATTTACACTGCAGTTGGAGTCAGGAAAACCCCTGCTAATACCATTTGAAATTGTCAGAAATGCGACATTGTTGTAGTCCAATGATTGATCGATTTTCAGTTTCGGGGTTCAAAAACGACTGTTCAAAACCGTTTCCTCAAAAAGGCCTCCAAACATTGCAATTTGGAACAGCCTGTAGTGTAAAAAGACACGTTTCCCCACCTCAGCCGACAGACTAGTTTACACATTCACTGCCATTGACGACTATAGAAGTCTTAAAGCTCCACTGTTTTACCGTGGGCTGCCAGTGAATGAGTTACAGTATTCTTTCTTAGCCATCTGTTCAGTCCACAATTTATCAGTCCAGTCTGGACCCAAATGAAAAAAAAAATCATGTCCCTGTGTCTGATTCCATGTCAACGGGGTTTTCTAGGAGATCATGTCTCTCTGCTGGAGTCAAAGTTTCATCCCTGTGCCAGAGTCCGGGAACACAGTCACTGCAGGAGAAGCGAGTGCCGAGTGAGAAGGTTCACATCCCTTTACCCACATCCATGTCCATACTGGAAGTCTTGCCTATAGCAATATCGATCCCATTTCCACATCTAATACCAAGAATGGTCTCGTACTCCTTCCTACATTTCAACTCATGCCGAAAAGCCACACCATTTGCAGTCTTTGCCCCGGCACTCTGATTTTTTTTTTTTCTTTTTCATCCTTTAAGATCGTCTTCGTGCATCCACTGGTGTATATGGGACAGACGACTAGGATTATCTCTTGTATAAGAGGGACCAAGACAGGGATCTTGTTACAATGATACGTTTGTGACATAACTGGCGTTTTCATTTGTTTGTCCACCGTATTCGCGTTGTGTCATCGAACAGTTCCCTCACCACCACCCCAAAAAAAAAAAAGTGTGGCAGCATTTGCAATGCGTCCATCGCCCAGAGTGACCAATCGGAGCAGCAGCACCAGCTGCCTCTGCAGTTGCACAAATTTGGCACTATCACTCCTCTATGCAACACAATTGTGATTCCCACTGGAAAGAAGTGGAAGGGTGGGGAGGGGTAGCAATAGGGGGGCTATTCGCACCGATGCGGGTGGGGGGGCGGGCTACTCACCACATGAAAGAGCCTCCATCACCACGTAGATGAAGAGCGTCCGTGTGCAATCCCGTGCACCTGACATGGTAGAATCCCCAGCAGGTGGAATGTTTTAATCCCAGAATGAGTGGTTCTCTCTCAGGTGGATCGATGGATGGTTGATTGATTGGTTCCCTGACCGGGGAGCTTCACCAACCGGAGCCCCGTCGATGCGCGTCCTCTCCCGGCCAAAAGAGAGTGTTTGCGCCCCCCTTTTGGAAGTTCCGAAGCGACACCAAAAAAAAAATAAAAAATCATAAATCACACAAAAAATGTCGTCTTCCACGCTGAAAATTGTTTTATGAAATGAAAAGGGTATAATATAATGTAGATATATGGTTTTAAGAAATAGTTTCTTGAGGGGGAAGGAACACCGGGTGAATCTGCACCGCCGTGGCCGACCTGTCACTCACACTTCCCGGGCATCTTCCGAGGAAGGACGCGGAGCTGGAAGTGCATTTTTGGGAGGAAAAAAATGGTCGGTGGTCACGACCGACTCGGAGGTTCGCTGGCCCACTCGGTGTGCGGCTCGTTGTCCAGTGGTGAAAAAAAAGAACCCAGTAAAGTCCGGCGAGTTTTTTTCCTCCGCTTATTCCAGTTTTACTTTGGTATTGTGAAGACGGGCGGCGCGGAGCATCGTCGCGGTCACCGGAGTACTACCAACTCTCCGCGCTTCTTTCATGGAACGAGCGGTCTTTGGACTCATGGTCATGGACACCCGAACTGGTGGTCGTCTGGCCAGGCTGTTTTAATGGAGAGGAGCGAAGGGGGTGACGGGTAGGTTCGCCGGTTCCGCCTCTTGAAGTGCTTTCAAAGTGAACGTGCTCACCTTACTGACTAGAAAGCTGTCTTGAGTCGCCAATGTGGATATGTTATAAGGCAGAGTTCCGGTTAACGCTGTCAAAATAAAACTATTTGTAGGTGTCGGGTGAGGGCGGCATAATTGGGGATTTTTTTTTCCAACTCTTTTGGCTTTGACAAATACTGTGATGCCACAAGATAGCGACAAAGCTGACTATCAATTCATAAATTTTAGTCAAAATGTAGGGACCATTTAAAACTACATCATTTCAAAATATTTTTTCATATTTTTAATTCTTGGAGATATACCGTCATTGCAAAACACAAGTCTTTGGTTGAGAGGGTGACTCTTATTTCAAAAACCGGAAGTGCCCTTTCCGGAATTTGGTTGCCCATATTAGGTACGCTGAGTTTGAGGACGCCTTAGAGAAAAAAAAAAAAGAGGAATCTCGAGAGTGGTGGACGAGCCAGCTAGCCTGGTTGTCCTTAATTGGCTGAAGATGGTGCGATATTATTGATGAACGGAGCATTGATTTCATGGAGCCGTGCCACTAATGCGTTTATTAATGGTTGCATCCCACTCCTGGGCGGCCAATGTTACTTGTTACTTTTTTTCTTTATACTTTTTTTTTTTTTTGACTTTGAGTCAAACGACGGCGATTAAAGAGGTTAACGGTGAGGCTAATGGCTATCCAGTTGTGATTTACAAGTGTAAAAATAAGTTAATGGCATCATAAAATGTGGCTACAACACGCAGGCAACTTTAATGATGGTGGCCCCTGCCTAAGAGACTTGAGAATCTTGTTCTGAATGTTCCTAAATCCATGCATGTTCGTTGGAGTCACAGTGCAACAATTTTACAGCCAAAGAGTTTTACAGCCCCCAAATGTCCATATTCTTGAACATTTATTTTCACTTTGATAATAAGGATACCGTTAACCAAAATCTTCCATTTTTATTGTTGTCTGGGACAACGCCCAACTCAACTGTATTTATAGAACAACCACCGCCGTATACAAAGTGCTGTACATGGAGCAAATATCATATATACAACAAAAACCAACAAAACAATAAATTAATAAAGACAGTCGAAAGCACAAAAACAGTCAAACTAAAAATCAAATCTGAGTCATGCTGAGTCAAAAGCCAAAGAATAGAAATGAGTTTTGAGATTAGTTCTAAAGATGGGCAGCGAGGGGGCCTTGCTGAATGTTCAGTGGAAGGTCATTCCAAAGAGAGGGACCAGCAACAGAAAAGGCTCCATCCCTCCGGAGCCTCCGCTTGGTTTTTGGTACCTCTAATAGTGTCTGGTCGGCAGTCCTGAGGCACCGGACAGGTGCGGAGGAGCTCAGAAAGGTAAGGTGTTGGGTTTTTTTTTCTTCAGATTTTCCATCAACAAAGTATGACCTTACTCCATCTTTTTAAATTCACAGAATCGGGTTTTATGTAAAAAATAAGGTGAAACTAAATAAACAACCGCCTTGAGATCAAAGAAATATTCCCCCCTTGAATGTGAAGCTCAATTGGCCCTCTCCATACCAACGTCATCTTGCTATTTCAGGCGGTTTTCAGTCCCGTTTCAAGTCTTGAATACAAAATGTCACATCAAAGAACTGCCGCGTTCTGCACGACAAGGACAATGCGTCAGGGGTAGTGTCCCCCGTAACTCACTCGGCGGTGTGACAGGGGCTGCAGCATCACCCTGCCGCAGACAAACACACCCCGTTGTTATTAATATTTGGATCAGAAAGAAAACATAGACCAGAAGAAGAAAAAAAAAAGGCTGCAAGAAGGCAGTGAGCAGCTTGGATGACATCGCAGCAATGCCACTGGACATTTTGCCAGCTAGCATAAATCGCACTTGTGGGAAAATAGGCCATGAAAAAATATCTAAAATTCATTTCATTCTCTTTTTTTTTTTAATGATCATTGCGATTACACCGACAAGCTAAGAGTGTAACCTGAAAGCCTTAGTCTTGAAGGCACGAAGGCAAATTTAACTCAATGAAATGAAGCTGAATTCAATTAACGTAACAGCTGCCGCCTCGGCGCGAGGTGTTAAAAAGCATTTGTTTTTTGCATCTGTTGTTTTTTTCTTTTCCCTTCTTCTCCGTCTGATTTCCGACTCACCAGCATGTTGCACTGCCCACAAGACGCGCAATTAACGGCGACGCTCAGTCGTTTAGCTTTTTAATTGTTTGCCGCTTGCACGTGGGGTTCTTGCCAAGCGACGGTGTGCCTCATCAAAAATTGACAACAACAAAACTCAATGCAGAGGACAGCTGTCGCACATCATTTGCTTTTTATTTGAGCGTGAAGGCATCAAGCAGTTGAACACAGCACCGAAGGGGCCGTGCGGAATTACGACTGCTACTATATGCCTTACCTGCAATAGTCGCTTGGTAATCTCCGCGGTCAGAGTTCAAAATTAATCTCCAACACTTTCAATTACGAGTCACGTGTTTAATAGACACTTGGGGAGGGGAAAAAAAATAGTTATCACAATTACTGCTAATAATGAATGCCTTGCCCTTCGTAAATGCCTTCGACTCTCTTCACTTTAAACACACGCACGCAAACACACATTACCTTCAGTTAAATAAGTACCACACCTCACCTTGGTTCGCAATTGCTAATAATGAATGCCTTACCTCTAAAAGTCGCTAAAGAGTCCCAAATTACAGTAATCTTCTTCACTTTCACTTAAGAGGGGTGGTGTCACACTTACTAGGAATGAAAAAAATCCTTTGTGTCTGATTTAAAAAAACAGCTCAGACGTCATGATTTGTTTTGGAAAACACCATAGCAAAATAAATCAGCACCACACCTGAAATACACACCTTCTTGTTTCTCCTCAGGAACAACAACCAAACCAGGCCGTGTTACTCTGTGGCTGTGATTAATTCCTCCTCATAAATGCCTGACACTGCCCTGCTGTTTGGTCATCATAACATATCTTCAAATAATTGCTTCTGCGCGAATAGGCGCCATGCCTCACCATATCCGCATATAAGTGCCACACCTCAAATAGTCACCACTTTTTCTCAGCACCGCACCACCAATACTCTATGCCAGGCCGTCAATGGCATTTTGCATCATGTGTTAGCATTACGCTAAATGGAATTTACATAGGCAAAGCCATGTGGTTGCTTTTCAATACACAACACAACATTTTTTTTTCTTGTTGAGTTTGACAGCAAGTTTCACCCGGGAATGTAAAAAAAAAAAAAACAGCTTGGTCTGTTTTGGGGGCTGGAGAAGATTATGTTGTGAAGTTGAGTTCACTGCCACCATACAACGGCAAAAATAATAATAATAATCAGCCGAAGGATGACATGTATCTGGAAAAAATTCGTAAGGGGAGCCACGCAGATCTCAAGGCACCACTGTATTCAAAATCATGGCCGTACCCAGACGACGAATAACAAACGCTCCAAAAATGCGATGACTTGTGCCGATAAGCACTAATGAAAGGTGTTCGGCGGCCATGCAAACAGTGCACTTACTTATTTTACCTTCTTCTTTGATCCCGTGTCTTTCCGCAGCTGTTCATTTTGCGCCACCTGTCCTCCCGCTCAATGCGTTGCTCCACAAAGAATCTCCCTTGTGGCGCAGGTGTGCCTGTCGGGCGCAACACCTGCAGACGCTCCTCACATTCTTTACCCCTCTTGGCCCCCAAATCATCATTCCTCACGATTACATGGGGCCTCATCCGCAAATAATACACCATTTTTTTTTAATCTGACATTCCTTATTCGCTGAAAACCACTTATTCACACTAAAAGTATGACGTTGGCACCATCTTGGGGCGTCTTGCTGTCTGCCGACGAACTATGATCAAGTGCCGAAGGCGTTTGTTTTGGACTAAAGTAGTGCTTTACTGGTGTCATTGTTCTTCGCTGTTTTTCGGTGCTTTGCAACAAAATGCCAAAAGGGGGCGCTAAAACATTTTATATTAGCTTTGTCCTCCAGCCCAAAAAGTATTTGCAAATGGACAAAATTATGAAAGTCAATGAATCCATGAACCAAAAAAAGCGTGGTTTCACTGTCCCTCCATCCACGCTCCAATTTCATCTTAGCTTTTTCCACCCAAATAATTGACCTTCATATATTTAGCATTTAATGTATTTTTAATATTATCAATTTGTATTGTTATGCATTGTTTTATTTTATTCTTCATATTTTTTTAAGATTACTATTCCACGTTTTTCGATGACAAATGGATGGCCATCAGTTGTGTCATAGCTAAATACGGCCAGCCAGGGGCAGCAGCGAAGCTGACACTGAGCCAAAATGGGTTTGGACAATGGAGATGTTTGTCATCGGAGAAGAAGAAAATGCTGCCTTTGCGTACAATTGGAAATAGTGCTACTTGCTTTTTTTAACGAATAAAATGTGTAATTATTTTTTTTAAATCAAATTTAAATCTGAAATGAATGGTGTTAATTTTTTTTTGAATTTTTAATTTAGAAAACGTATTGATGTAACTCCACAAAACGTTCAACAATATCTCAGTGCTGGATTTTGAAAAGATTTTTCGAGAGTCTTTGAAGGCAGCAGTGAGACGGAACGAAAGCACCCTGGCAACGCTGTCACAAAAAAAAAAAGAAAGAAAGAAAAAACAAGGAAAGGAAGCAACAACGTTTAACGTCTCACCCTTCCTCGGGCGACTCGCAGCTTTGCTCACATATTGTATTTGAATATGAATGTTAAGTGACCAAATGTTGTGTTAGTTGCCACCAAAGGGATTTTAACGCGTTCGTCATGGTGTTCTTCAACGAACCCAGCTAGCTTAGCCTTTCTTCGTCGAGGCTCCACAGTTGACGTTAGCGTCGAGCTAAAGCTCAAGCGCAGCCGATCGACGATGGCGATTGTGTCCGGCTCCTGCGCGCGGGTCACCGGCTCCCGCAGCGGGCCCTCGGCGGCGGTGGCCGCGGTCCCGGTCCCGTCCCCGTCCTCCGGCCAGTCGCAGCCCATGATAGCCGTGTGGGAATGGCAGGACGATCTGGGCCACTGGCGGCCATACAGCGGCCAGGTGAGCGCCTACATCGAG